GTCATTGGGGTTTCGGTTGCTTTCAGTTGCAAGGATTTATAATTCAGCTGCCTTCCACCATCACAAAGCTCTTTGCTGAAGGAGCAATCATATCCCCAACAAATATCACACTTCAGATGAACTCTTTGCAATTCAAGGCCCTTTACAAAGCACTTTCCTGCTGTCTGAGGGACTGGGTCATGATTCCTCCTTTGTGAACTCTGTACCCTCAAGTGGATTACACATTGGGTCAAGTGGCTTGGATTCATTTGACTCCTCTGACTATACTATAAGAACAGAGTTATTATGCTCTAAACTGGAAGTCAGCTACCCATGCCAGCAGTTCCATTTATTAGCTGTGTGCCTAGAGACATGGAACTTGGATTCTCTAGGCCTCAGTTTCCCTCTCTAACAGGCATATTAATTCCTGCCTTACCTACATCTCAAGATTGCGGAGAGGATGCAATGAGGCAGAGTGGAAGTCAACAATCTATGAGTCAGGGGCCAGATAAACATTTTTTTTTTTTAAATAGAGAACAAGCCTGGTCTCGCTGAAGCATGGCCACACTCCACTGTTGACAGACTGTCCCCAGCTGCTTTTGCACAGTAACCAGGGTGGAGTTTCATCAAGGACTTTACGATCTGCAAGCAGAAACTACTATCAAGGGCCTGTTCAACTCTGTTTACTATCCAGTTTCCAGTTGGTAACTCCTCTCTCAATGAGGACTCTGTAAAAACAAGCATGGCTTCTATGATCATCAGGAGTTTCTTGTTGGTCCCATTGTTCCCATCCAGAAAACTTCCCAAAGTGGTCACATCTGGTCTCGGCCACACGTGACGGTTGATGTGTGGTGAAGATGGGAACTTTCTGGAAAGCAATTTGACAGTAATTGTGGAAAGCCGACACACACCATCCCCTGACCCCATCATCTCACTTTCACAAAGTTGTCTGAAGAAATAATCAGAGTTGAGATGTGTCTAGAAATGACGGTGGAGTATTACAGAAATTATTCTGCAAATGATACCGCCATTTCAAACCCTGTTTCAAAGAATCCATAATCGCCTGGCAAGGTACTCCTGTCCTAAAACTAGCACTGTAAAGGAACATTGTATTTAATTTGACCAATTATCAAGCAAGGCTGGCAGAAAGCATACCCAGTTCCATGGTGATTTTCTCTGGGTGGCAGAATTATAAAATACCTTAAGATGCTATTTTCATGTTCATTTTCTTTTTAATCAGAGAAAGAATAATTTAGTAAATAATTCTTGGCTGAAGAATATCAAGAGATAGTTGAGGATGGGCCAAGCAGGCATATGTGTGAACTGAAGGGGATGTGTGGGTACCCAGGGGAGGGGAGTCTGCTTCCTACAAAGTTCCAGCTGTGGCTCGATTCTGCTCACCCTCACCTTGTGGGCATTTGATTCACTTGATCTGCATGGAGAGCCCTCCTAGTCACCCATTTGAATACCTGCCCTATGAGTGTTTCAGGAACTATGGAGCTTAGGAGCTGAATGGGCAGCAGCCGATGGCGCCTGTCCAACCGCTTTCCCTGATCTTTGTGTGGAGAAAGGGCATCTCCTGTGTACCACCAGCTAAACACCAGCAACACAGGCGTGAGAAGGGGCTAATTTCTCAGTCATGCATCCCCCCCCCCATAACTCTGGCTCTCTCTAGCTTTCCTAATCTCAGGGAATAGGCACTGGAATTCCTCTACATGCCCAAGCCAGAGGATGGGTGTGATCCTTGTTATCCATCAAATATGAAGATTCATGAAATTTGCTCACTGTGGATCATCTCCATCCTGTTTCTTTACCTTGTTTTCACCTCAGTCCAGGCTCTCATTGTCCTCAATTGGCTCCCTGCAATACCTTCCTGACCTCTCTCTGATGGTGTGACTCTGCTTAAACCTTTCCTGCCTTCCAAGACTTAGGATACTTAACCCCATCTTCTCCCTCCTGACTTAATGGTCCATCTCTCTGCCTTGTGTTTCTGACCATTCATTTCCTCTAACCTGCTGTTCCCTGTCCTCTGAAGGACTTTGTCCATGAGATCCTACGTGGCTGGAAACCTCTTTCCACATCTCTCATAGTTAATTCCAGCAAATCCTTAGAGTCAAAACAGTGCTGGCCCCTCCCAAGTGCTCTGTAGTAGCCAATCATTGCCATGCCTGTATGTATATTATATGCATGCATACAGAAGGCAGAGGTCAACCTCAGGTGTCATTCCTAAGAAGCAATACACCCTGTCTTTTTTAGATAGGGCCTCTGCCTGGGCCTGAGGTTCACGGATTAGACTAGACTGGTTGGCCAGTGATTCCCCAGGTCTTCATCTCCCAAGAGCTGAGAATACAAGTGTGTACTACCATGCCTAAGTTTTCACACAGGTGCTGGGCATTGAACTCAGCTCTTTAGGCGTGCACAAGTTCTTTACTGACTTAACTGTCTCCCCAGGCCCCAGCCACTGTGGCTCTCATGGTCCTCGTCCCAGCCCATGCCAGCTTCTGGAGGAATCCTTGTAGCAGGCCACCCTGAGCTCTCCTCCATAACAACTAGAGCAGTCAGAGCTCAACAATGAATTGTTCTTACTTGCCTCCTCCCTACTGCCTCTGGGAGACTTTGGTCAGAATGCAGACCACAGCATGCAATCAGCATTCACGGAATGGTCCAATGCTTGCATCTATAACTGTGTATTGCCATACGATCTGTGGCACCTTCGTCCCTGCTGTCATGTTGGGCATGTCACAGGTGAGGAAGCAGAGGGTCCTAGGAGTCAATAAGCAATTCTATGAATTGTGACACTGAGGAGCAGAACCCCAAGTCTTTAGCATGGCTCTGCTAAAGACTTTTTGCTCTGCTGGTTGGGTGGATGTTTTCTTGCTTTGGAATGGGTAAACATAAGTATTTTTCAGTATGAGTCTTGCCCCAGGGAAAAGTTGCTTGGTTAACCTCTTGGGAAAGAGAAATACTTTTGCCTTCGTTGGCTGGCTCTGGGCAGCTGAGAGCTCTTTATCTCCACTGTCTGCTGCTCAGGACATAATGACCTGCCTCCAATCCTTTTCAATTATGGGATTTCTGATAGGAATTTGGAAAACAACTTCTAAATCCTGAGGCTTGGATGCTAGCTTGTGGTTCAGTTCCAAAGTTCATACCAAGTGTTTCCAGAGACTTTTCTCACCTGCCCCTCTGGGGGAGCACCCCAACCTGCTCTCCTTCCTCCTGAGTCCCCCCCCTGGGGGTGCATAGCCATGCTTGGACCGTGGTCTCCTTGCTAGATAAAGGGTCCTTCTCCCCTACAGGGCTGCATCTCAGAGGTGGTAGCTGTACTGAAGCAGCTCTCAGCACGGGAAATACCTGGGCTGGTGTCCAGGGACAGGCAGCCATGGGCAGGGCCCAAGAGTGAGCCAGGCCAGTTGGCTTGATCTTCCTGTATTAGTGGGGCCTTTGGCAACCAACCTAAGATCCTTAAGCCTCAATTTCCTTAACCATTAAATGGGAGTAGTAGTGTTCACCTTTGGAATTTCTGTGGTGGAAACACCCAGAAAACTATTAATAGACAGATTTTCCAGGCATTGGAGCACAACCTATAATCCTAGAACTTGAGATATAGAGGCAGGAAGATCAAAAGTTCAATGTAATCTTTGCTATATGGAGAGTTCAAGACCAGCCTAGGCTCTATACAAGGCCCGGTGTCCAAAAAGATCAAAACCTAACCCAACCTAAAATTGACCAACAAACAAAACAAACGAACAATTATTTTCTTCTCTCCTCTACTGTTTTTTGGCCAGATTGGTATAGCCCTCTCCCAGCTTCCACAGGCAACTTCCCTGCCCCCCCCATAACATATAAAGTTTGAAAAAGGGGAGGGCAGAAGTTAGACCATTTGAAGTCCAGCAGAGGGCCGGGCTGAGCCCTTGTTGTATGGCTACATAAGTACATGTGAGGAAAGGAAGGGGAATGGCTTTGCACATTAGAGCCACACAGACATGCTTCCAACACCAGATCCTTGCTAACCGGAAGACAGGAACAGTGGCTCCCATTCTCAGGATCTTGGAGGATTTGAGCTAAAACATGGGAAGCCCTTCCCTCTGCCCGTCAACTTCTGCTCTGCAATCTCCCATGATGAAGGGCCAAGGAGGGCCCTACCCTGGTTCTGAGTATATTCCCAGGAGTCTCAGTGAAGCTCAAGGAGGAACTAGAGTTCAAGAATCTGTTCTCTGTTTCTTTTCACCTTCCTAATAGAGACCCTTTAATACAGTTCCTCATGTTGTGATGACTCCCAACCATAAAATTACTTTGATTGTTACTTCATAACTCTAATTTTGCTAATTATGAATCATAATGTAACTATCATGTTTTCTGATGGTCTTAGGCAACCCTGTGAAAGGGTCATTCAACCTCCCAAAGGGGTCTCAACCTACAGGTTGAGAACCACTTCTTTATAAAAAAAAGTGCACAGTGGTTCTGAATATCTATCTATCTATCTATCTATCTATCTATCTATCTATCTATCATCTATCTATCTATCTATCTATCTATCTATCTATCTATCTATCTATCTAATCTGTCTATCTGTCTGGTAGGGGAGGAGAGGACCAAATATGTGTGGGGGCTGCAGCAGATAGAGAGAGAGACATGGAAGACATGGGACACCTAGGATCCAATGTTAAGATGGGAACACACACACACAGACAGAGACAGAGACAGACAGACAGAGACAGAGACAGAGAGAGATGAAAAAAATATTTTTTTAAAAAAGATGGCAACGATAGAAGGCACCTTGAAGTGAGAATGGCAGTCTCCAAAAGCTACCCCCACTGCTTATACGATGCCTCTACGAGCAGGTCAAGCTTTTTTTCCCTGGACTGCAGACCCCTTCCTATAGCCAAGATGACCAGCACAAGACTCTCGTGATGGCCAGGCTGTCTCTACAGGAATTTACAGCAAAACCAGAAGAAACCCAGTGGGTGTGTCCCTGCCAAGGGAATTGATAGTTAATGTGAATTCTTTTTTCTATAACATAGAGAGGTGAAGAGGATGACAGAGGTGCTGAGCAAAGGGAGTCTTCAGGGAACAAGAGGAGGCATGGAACCCAGAGGTGACTGACCTTTGATTCAGAAGGTGCTGCAGACACCTCTGCCTGCTCCTGAGGTAGGTAGGTCCCAGGGATGGGAAGCCAGGCTGAGCAGCATGTCTGTGAGACCCCAGAATCCACCTTGCACCTTCCTGTAAGCTGGAGCTAGGGGGCAGCTGGAATAAAAGCCTCTGGTCCTTCACACAGAAGCATCTTATTCATTCAGGGCCTCTCAGCACACACTTAGGTCCTTTTGAGGAGCACTAAGTCTGCAACTCACCCTGCCATATCCCTTGTATGTACATGTGCTCAAACCGTCCTGCAGTAGTCCATCACTGTTGAACACGCCCCTCACCTTTCTGCCTTTTGCGGTGAGGTCAGCTTGATCTGCACCTCAGACGGAGACAGGCCTTCTGTAAGGCCCCCATCATGTGTTACCCACCCTCTAAAGCTCTTTCTAGATCTCTCCAACCTAATTAGTCCTTCACCCCAGAACCTCTCAAAGCCCTCTGTTCTTCTTTCCACTGTCATATTTTTTAGATTATGCTAGACTTATTTGATATTTAGAGTTACATTTTCAAATCCATGGGTAATGGGACTTCCTACATTATACCGTTAACTGAAGAATAAAATCCTCCCCTGCAGTTTTCCTAGTACCATTCCTCAAACCTAATCATGATTATTGATTTATTTTGCAGGCTTCCAGAAATTTCTCTAAGCAAATGGAAATCAGAATGTTTACACTGATAGTTATTTGACCCAAATGGGGTTACATTGAATTACTTTTCTGCAAATTGTAGTTTCTAGTTTATTTTCACAGAAAAAGCATACTCATTACATGAAGGCTCTGTTGAATGTTTGCTCTAAAATTGCAATTTTATTCTCTTTTGAAAACATAAATTGTTTACTTTGCTTTTTATTTTTTGCCGTTTGCTTCCCTCGGTTCCCTTTGGCTTGTGAGGCTTCCTTTGTCCTGCTTGTCCCTTCTCGGGGTTGGAAGGTTTACAGTCTGTCTGAGTCATCTACTCTTGTGTTTCAAACAGTGAACTCACCCGTCTATTTCTTGATTTGCCTATTGTATTCCCTACCCGAAGAGCTCCACAAAGGCAGATGTAGAAACTCTAGCATGTGTCTCTCTCCCCACCCGTCCCTTTTTATACCATCGTGGTTTGGGACATTTGCATTCTGTTCTGTTACCATAATCCCCACAGATGTTCAGCCTTACTTTTATATTTACACGAATACAATGTTTGCCATCCACTCTTAGATTTCAGAAATTTACTGAGATTCCTAATTTGATCCCATTGATATATCTCTTGGGGGGACTGTATTTCACTGTCAATTCTTTGCTCCTTCACCTCCATCCTCACATGAACTCTGGAGTGCTGTGTTTTGTTTCTCTGAGCCCGGATTGGTAAAGGTTAGGATTTGGAGAAGTGTTTCTCAAAGGCTATTAGTAAGGAGTGGAATCTCTAGGAGATGGGACTAGGTGAGAGGTGCTCAAGTCATTGGGAGCGTCTTCTTGAAAGGGGCTGAGGCTTCCTGGCCTTGATCTTCCTAGCCTGTCTCTCTTGCTCCCTGGCTTGCAATGTGAGCAGTTTGCTCTGGTACTCTCCAGAACTGCCACACGGTGCCTCCAACCAAGGCCCAAAATAATGGATCTTCTCAATCTCATACGAGAACCTTGAGCTAAATAAGCCTTACAGTTTTTGTAAAATTAATTATCTCAGGCATTTTGATGTAGTAATACAAAAGAGACCAACACAGTGAATGTCTTTCAACTATTTCCATACTTGAAGACTAGGAGGCTGCCAATCAGTTCTCAAGATGTACTTATTACCATCTATGCATCACTGCTATCATGTCTTTTAACAGAACAAAGAATGGTCAGAGATCAGCTTGGTTTTTCCCTTAGGATATCTCCCAACTTTATGTTCTAATTATTCTTCATCGAAGTTCTACAGTATATTAAGGTTATTTTCAATTCGGCCAATTCAGAAAAATTTTCTTCTATAGTATCTTTGAATATGTTTGCACCCTCTTGCTCTATGGTTTTCTTCAGGAGTGACTGGTGTGCATATGTGAACTCATATTTGTTTGCTGGTTACTTTCATTCTCTTTATTGTCTCTCCCTTTCTTTCATTTTAAAAATCTCTTTATTCCATCTTACTGGTGTTATGTTCCCCCTATAATGGCTTTTATTGTTATTTCCAGTTGCTTTGCTTCCATGTTGGCTGCTTGCTCTCAGCTTTACTTTGGGAATATTTTCTTCTTGTTTGTTACTTTCTGAGATATGTAACAGGAGTGAGCTGGGGCCATTTCCCATTGAGTCTGTCATCTTAGAATTTGTTACCAAGTATGCTCTGCCCCTAGAATTTGTTATCAAATATGTATCTCCTTGAGGGTACATGCATTACCAAGTGTGAAATCAACGTGAGTCACAAAGATGGTCCCTGGATTGAAGGTCTTCTGGTTACACTCAGTGGTTTACATATCTAGTTTAGTGATAAGTGCAAGGCTGACCTTATTCTCCTTTCTCTTACACGTCACTTCCAAGACCTGTAAGTAATGAGGATCTGGGCTGAAATAACAATACTGGCTATCCACACAATCTGACCTTCGTTCTTGCCTCTCTAATTCTCCTACTGTATGGAAATGGTTGAGACGGGAGCACCTCATTTTTTCAAGGTCTACCTCCGTCTCTGTTCCTTCTCCAATACATCAGTGTGTATTCATCTTTATAGTGCTATTTTTTCTATCAAGAGAATCTAGCAATTTACTTAACTTCTATTATCTTCCAAAGGTCTGATGTATAACAGATATGAATTCTACCCTGATATACTTAGTGTAACATCAAATTCTGTAACAACCCCATCTCCAAATGTCGATGGTTTTACTTATATAAACTCATCTATTGCTTTTGTAAAAGCCCATTGCAGATGTTTCTGACCTTCAGGTAACTTGTCCTATGCTGAGTAAGAGGTCTGTGTTCTCTCTCTCTCTCTCTCTCTCTCTCTCTCTCTCTCTCTCTCTCTCTCTCTTTCTCTCTCTTTCTCTCTCTCTCTCTCTCTCTCTCTCGTTTTTTTTTTAATGTACGTGTCTTAGAGTACCTTGGATCCATCTAAAGAGAGAGGGAAAGAGGGGAGGAAAGAGATGTGGGTAGGATGGGAAGAGAGAGGAGAAGAGGCAAGAAAAGGAGAAAAAACAGGGGAGTGTAGAGGAGAGGAGAGGCCCAGAGTGCCACATATCATATCTGTTCCCATCTGCCTGTGGGAACCAATCACAAGCCTCACCTAAATGTGCTGTGGGATGGTCTTTATGTCAAATTACTCTGATTGGTCAATAAATAAGACACTGATTGACCAGTGGCTAGGCAGGAAGTATAGGCGGGACTAACAGAGAGGAGCAAAGAAAGAACAGGAAGGCAGAAGGAGTCACTGCTAGCCGCTGCCATAACAAGCAGCATGTGAAGACGCTGGTAAGCCACGAGCCACATGGCATGGTATAGATTTATGGAAATGGATTAATTTAAGCTATAAGAACAGTTAGCAAGAAGCCTGCCACAGCCATACAGTTTGTAAGCAATATAAGTCTCTGTGTTTACTTGGTTGGGTCTGAGCGGCTGTGGGACTGGCGGGTGACAAAGATTTGTCCTGACTGTGGGCAAGGCAGGAAAACTCTAGCTACATAAATGCAAATGGGAGGCCTGGAAATGTGTCCCTGACTGCACAGTTGTTCCCTCTCCATTGCTCTATTATGAAAAGATTCAAATGATCACTAGTAAGGACTTCAGCATCCCAGCCTCATAGCCATCACCCACCTTCACTGGAGATGGAATAGTCTTCATGATTTTCACCCTTTTGTTGTTTTGAGTGGATTTAGGAGTAAACTTTTTTTTTTTTTTTTTTTTTTTTTTTTTTTTTTTTTTTCGAGACAGGGTTTCTCTGTGTAGCTTTGCACCTTTTTCCTGGAACTCACTTGGTAGTCCAGGCTGGCCTCGAACTCACAGAGGAGTAAACATCTTTTAACTCATGTTTCTCAATCATCTTTGATTTTCTCTAAACCAGAAATGCTATATTGGTATTTTTCAGCACCCAGCATGATGGCTCAACCAAGATTTCTTGGATGAAGGCATGAGTAGGTGAAAGCTGATTTTCCTATGTTCCTCATTCTCTGCTTAGTCTTTTTAATCCCTTTTTCTTTAGCTCAGGAGAGACAGGAGGAGAGGTCAGGGCTGCCTCCTTCTCTTCTCCTCTTGCCCTCCCCATCGTTCTCTGACACAAGCCTTTCATCCTGTCTCATTGCACTGATGGACTCCACCCTTGAATGAAATCTGTGGAGCCTGGCTCGCAGCTCAGCAGGGTTCCTGTTGCCAAATAAACTGAACAGTGTGCCTCCCTGCAACTTGGCTGTAAGATCTGATACAGAGAGAAAAAGAAAAAACTCGGGTCTGTCTGGGTAAACAGTTGACTGGTGAGAGCCAGGTGCTCTGCCACTCATGCTGGTGCCAAATGTCCCAAGTGTTACCCAGGGCTGGGGTGGGGATCAAGTATGCAGAGAAGAGTCTGCTTTGTCCTGATTCAGTGGGCCACCATATAAAAATCCCCTTTCTGGGGCCAGTTGTTTTTGAAGAGTGGACAATGCTCAGGAAAGAACATTCGTAGAATCAGAGCAGCACAGAATAGTTAGGAGCCTGACCACTGGAGTCAGGTGGACTGTGTTTATTATATCTTGTACTGCCATTTACCAGCTCTATGACCTTTGGAAAATTGAGCAATTTGAGTTTCAGTTTCTTCATCTATAATAATATTGAAATAACTCTCCAACCTGTCTGGGTTTTAGCAAGTGGAATAAAAAAACTTGGTGCAAAATAGATGTTTGATTTTTTGTAACATAAATGCATCTAAACACCAAGTAGACATGAAGCTTTCAGCCCTGAACTTAGTACATTCTGGGTGATCAGTGTAGGCTTGCTTATGTCAGTAATGGTAGGATAGCTTTGCTAGGTTGTTTGAGTAAGAAAACTCCCCAAATCTTTTATCAGGAGACAAAAAAGGTTTGTTTCTCAGTAATACTCCCTGTTCATAAAAGGACAGCTGGGGACTCTATTCTAAGCCATCCTCGGGCTATTAGGACAGACACCATCTAGAATCTGTCAGTCAGCATCCATTGCAAGGCAAAGTATATTCTTCCACTCTGTGAACCTGGGTTTGGTCACATGATTTCCTCTGTCCAGGGGGCTGCTAACAGACTTAAAGCAAGTAGAGACCTGAACGTACATTTGCATGTTTCTACTAGGGCTCTTCTAACTCTACATCAACTTGAGAACATGCCTGAGCAAGCCTGCTGAAGGGAAAGAGATACATGGCACAGAGCTGAGATTCTCCAACTGCCCAGTCATGGCCATCTCAAATCAGCGAGCACCTGGCTGGCCCCAGACACCTGAGCAAGACAAGTCAAGACCAGAAGAGCCTCCCAGCTGACACCAACCAACTCTGGATTCATGAACAACAAACACAGATATAGTAGGGGTTGTGTATTGTTATACACAATAGATAATAAATACACTGTGCTTCAAGCTCTACGGTATGTGGGTATCTGCACCTCTTCTTATTTCTCAGGAGAAAATATACATGGTAGATTTTATTGAAGACCTCAAGAATAGGCCTGGAGGGGGTTGACATCACAGAAATTCACAAATCTCCATTTATCTTGGCTTCTTGTCTTTGTTTCTTTGGCCAGTAGGCTCTCCACAGCTTCCCCTTCTCTTTTACCTTACACAGGCATGATTCTGCCAGGTGACATCCATCATTCATCTTGAAAGTCTCTCACCCTTTCTTTTATAAAATAACTCACTTGTCCCAGATATTCAGGATCTACAGACTTGGAAAGCCCTTCAATTGTAGGATCTACACTCAAGAGTAAATATTTATCTTCCGTGTACTTGAGGAAGATCTGGAACATTGGACTTCTGCAAATACTCAGTGAGATGACATGAGAAAGTGGATAATGTGCTTCAGGATGGCAAGGTGACAAGTTGTCTCCATTTTACTTACACAAGGGCCTGCGGCCTGGACAGGTCATCAAGGCCCAAGGTCGGAAAGCTTATGAGAGGTCAACTGTCACAAGCATCTGGAAGTCTTAATCTTCACTGGATCAGACATCCAGCCTTGGCACTAGATACTCCGAAACTTGGCCTGGGTTTATACAAAGCTTGGCCCAGCATCTCCAGTGGCTTCACTTAGCTTGGCGGGACACACTGACAGAGCTGGGCCAGGCAGGCTGCAAGACAACGCCCATAACTGTTCCAAAGGTAGTGGTGCCCTGACCACAGACCACTTGTCTTAGGTGCTTTACCTGATGGAGATCAGGGTGTGGGCTTGTTCCAGAGGCATGCAGACTGAAGTTGGTTCTGACAACCCAGGGCTCCACACGGGCTGTTAGACATCCTTGAGCCAATGCTTGCTGGGCTCTATTCAGAGGAACTGTAATTGCCAATGGGCAGGGAAGTTTAGTATTCCACCCTTGCCCTTTGAATTCCCTCTGCATAGGATGTTTTATAGCAGGGAGAGCAGAGCTTCAGAGAGAGGCGGTGGTACCGAGGGGAGAGGGTGGTGGAGAGACAGCTCTGACTTTGATAGAGTTAGGGTCATTGGTGTGTGCATGTGCACATGCATGTGCTTCTGTGTGTTGAGGAGTTATAGGTCAAGTTCCATGTGGACCCACTGTGTGATCTTGACTATGTCACATCCTCTCTTGGGACCCTATTTCTTCGTCTTCAAAAGGTTTACAGAGGAATATATATATATATATATATATATATATATATATATATATATCCCATTTGAAGGAAGTAAGATTTCTGACTTGGAGGGATAGCAAAGGGCCAGACTACCCTTCAATTCAGTTCTAAGATTTTAGGCACTTCGAGGAAAGGTCAAGACCACATTGCCCAGCATAGAATTCTTCTCATTCTAATAAATGGCAGAGACCTTCAAGATCATTTTCAGTGTCATCCTCTCAGTTTCAGAAAGGGACCAGAGAAGAGAAAGTACTTCTCAATCTCATAGAGTGAATTTCAACCAAGAACTCAGGTTCTCTGATCTACAGAACAAAGCTCTTTACACCAAAAATGACATTTTCTACCTAAAAAATCAATATGATTTTTAAACTCTGAGGCTTTCAGATGTTTTACCTTTTACAATAGGCTTAGTCCTTTTCTTCTTTAAGCAACTTTTTGGAAAGCCTGGAGATTTCTTACACCCCAAGCTTTGGACCAACATTATCCCTACTGTAATGGAGATGGCCTCCTACATACTTGGTACCAATTTCAACTCCAGGATGGAACCTCTGAGTTGACATGATCCACCCCATTGTGAAAAGGGAGAGTTATGATCCTCCCTACTGATGACTAACACACTAATGAGAAAAGTCTGCTTGGAACCCCAAAACTCAACAAGAACAATGAAACTTGAGGCAATTCTTCAAACAGCCAGAAGGCAAATGGGAAACTCAGAGTATGGAATAAGGAGTTGGAATGGAACAATGGAAACAGCCATTGTCTCATTCATAGACACTTGGTGAGCACCTACCAGGTGTCCACCCATGTGCCAGGTGCTTGTGGACTACAGGGAGGAAAACATGGCAACCCAACCCTCTGAGAGCTCATAATTTCAAGAGATTAGACAAGTACCCCTGTGGCTAATACTCTGGGACAATAAATGAAAAGGATCCCCACATCATGTTACTGGGCAGCCCTGCCTAGATCTCATTTGAGCTCCAATCCAGCATCAACTATGTCTATGTCTCACAGACATGCGAACATCTTCAAAATGGAACTCATGGGCCTCTAGCCCAAATTTCTATGACTCTGTAATTTTACCTGACACCACCATTTACTCAACTGCTCATTCCAGCAGTCACACAGACTCATCCTCGATAAGCATCTGGCAGCCAGCCACTGAATCTTGTAAAATTTAAATTCATTTCACACATGTCTCATTCTGTTCCTCTTCATTACTGCTTCCCTAAACAAGTCAACATCCTCTGTTGCTTCAGTAGATTCAGGTTTGGTCGTGATTATTGCTTTCAATCCATTCTCTATAGAGTAATAAGACTGTATTTTTTTTTAATGACATCTGATTCAACCATAATTCTTCTTAAACATGTCCGCTAGAATTTGATTCTACTGCAATCACTAACTGTTGTGGGACATCCTGCACCCCATACTTTACAGTATCATACAAGTGGGAAACAAAGAAAACCACATTTTTAGATAGTAGACAACTGGTAGCACAGGACTGTGATTTCTGTACTTGATCTTAGCAAAAGGGCAGAGAAATGATGGAACTGCGCTTTCTGAAAGTAAGAAAACAAAGACCTACGATTGTGTCAGTGCATTACTTGGAGCTAGCTTCCAGGCTGCAGCACACAGAACGGAGGAAACAAGGGCAAGGGAACAAGGCAGCTAGGCAGCCTTTGGACTAAGGTGATAAAGACTTAAGCTGGGTTATTATGCGAGCTAGAATTTGTGAGCGCAGTACTGGAGAGGATCAGGCCCTCTGGATGAGTGAGACAGTTGATTAGCTTGAACTGTTAGGAGGCACCCAGGCAGTGGGACCGGGACCTGTCCTTAGTGCATGAGCTGGCTGTTTGGAACCTGGGGCCTATGCAGGGACACTTCGTTGAGCCTGGGGGGAGGGGACTGGACCTGCCACCAGGTTGAGCTGAATCCCCAGGGGAGTTCCTGCCCTGAAGGAGATGGGAATGGGGGATGGGCTGGGGAAGGGTGGGGCGGGGGGAGGAGGGAGGACAGGGGAATCGTGGCTGATATGTAAAATTAAATCAAATTATAAAATTTAAAACAAAAAAGAAGGCAAAAACTGGATAAAGAGAAGGGAAGAGAGAGGGAGAGAGAAGGAAAGACACTTCCAATATTTTTAGAGATGTCCCCTTACTCTAAAAACAGACTTGAGTATGCACAAAATGAAATCCCATGACTCCAGGGGAGGAGATAATCCTTTGGGAAGAAACAGGTCAAAACAATGTCTAGGGTCAATACAAGAATAAGAATAATTTTGAGTCCAGTAGCCAGAGTGGAGAAACCTTATAATTTATAGGCTTTGGGAAGCATCTTCAAAGATGATACTTTAGTAATGACACTATATTAGTTCTAAAATAAAGTCTACTTTAGACATGTCATAACAAAGTTTAAAAGAAGTCTTATAAAAGATAAAAGCAACCCAAAATTGTATAATTTATCATCAGAATAAAATTCAGTGCTCTTAAGTAAAACAAAATCTATTATTCATCAACATAAAAGTAATAATATCCAGTATGCAACCATCTGTGGTGGTTTGAATAAGTATGATCCCTAAAGATTCATAGATTTGAATGCTTGGTCACCAGGGAGTGACGCTATTTGAAAGGAGTAGGAGGTGTGGCCTTGTTGGAGAATTATGTCACTGGAAGTGGGCCTTGAGATTTCAAGGGCCCAAGCCAGGCCTGGAGGCTCTCGATCTTTCTCCTGCCTATGGGTCCAGATGTAGAGCTCTCAGCTCCTTCTCCGTGCTCTATTTAGTTTTTTTTTATTATTATTATTATTATTTTTAACATTGGCCCCTATTACTTCCATCATTGTAATGATAATATGATGTTTTTAATATAAATAAAAACCTATAATGGGCAATGATTACATGAACAAATACATGCCTTCCTGGATGCCACCATGTTCCCTGCCACGATGAGAATAAACCCCTAAAACTATAAGTCAGCCCCAGTCAAATGCTTTCCTTTATAAGAGTTGCTGTGGTCATGGTGTCTCTTCACAGCAATAGAATACTAAGACACCATCTATGTAAAAAGGAAGGAAAACATGACTCATAATGAGAGGAAAACTTAATCAAAAGAAACATTAGGCCGGGCAGTGGTGGTGCACGCCTTTAATCCCAGCCTTTGGGAGGCAGTGGCAGGTGGATCTCTGAGTTTGCGGCCAGACTGGTCTACAGAGGGAGTTCCAGGACAGCCAGGGCTATGCAGAGAAACTCTGTAAAAAATTTGGTAACATTAGCAGATATAGATTATTGGTTAGGAGTCTACTATGAATCTTACAAGTATGATACAAAAGAAAAATGAGTGTGAGAAGAAAGAAATTGAAAATGTACACAGGTGTATGGGGCAGGGGCTGAAGTTGACACTGGTTGAAGGACAATATCTGTAATGAAAATTCCAGAACAAAAGGTTATTGAACTTGAAATTATAGCTTGGGAATCTAACATCAAGTAATAGGAAAATGAAATGAAACTGCTGCCCTGATATGTGGTGATGGACCAGCCTGACTCCATCTTAAGATTAGAAACCATCTTGTTAGAAGGTCAAAATAAGTTCATTCTTGTTTTCTGTAAAATTTGGGTTTGATCATGTCTTGACCCATTTTCTGGAATTTGACATGTTCCACAACCTATACCCTGACCTCCACCTTGATAAGATGTTCTGCCAAATAATTTTGAGATGTTCCTATGTAACCAAAACTCCTCTGGAAATCCTCCCACCCTT